GGTTTAGGGTTTAGGGTTTAGGGTTTAGGGTTTAGGGTTTAGGGTTTGGGCTCACTGTTTCGAATCTGGGAATGAATTTAAACCCTGGGGGCGGAATCATCAACATGGAGTCATCGTGGGGGCCTGCGGCCGCCTCGCTGCGCCTGTGCATTTTCTATGAGGGTTTAGGGTTTAGGGTTTAGGGTTTAGGGTTTAGGGTTTGCTGCTGTGCGGCGCTGCGGGCCTCTGCGGCGGCTGCCCCCGGCCTCGCGGCTCACTCGCCCACGCGGACCTTCCCGTCTTTGCTGCTGCTGCGCTGCAGCGCTTCTGCTGCTGCTGCTGCGCTGCTGCTGCTGCTGCTGCGCTGCTGCTGCTGCTGCGGCGATGCTGCTGCTGCTGTTCAGGTGTACGTACACCTCGCGCCGGCGGTCCAGTGGTCCGGCGCAGCGGCCGCCGCGGCGAACTTCAGCAGCAGCTGCTGCAGTTCAGTCTTTTAAATGGACAAATGAAATAAAAAGAAGTTGTTTTGTCTTTTAAAACAAAACAAAAATAAAACTGGCGAAATTAAAAAGAAAAAAGAGAGAAGCAGCAGCAGCGGCGCGGCGCAGCACTGCCGGGCGATGTGCCTGGGCTGTCGATACACCGGAGCACAAAGCGACAATTGTTTTAATTTTTAGGAATTCTTTTTCATTTTTAAATGAATTTTATATTTACTTGTTCGAAACATTGCCTGGAGCTGCTGCTGCTGCTGTTGCTGCTGCTGCTGCTGCTGCTGCTGCAGTCGAAGCAGCAGCAGCAGCCAGCGATTGCCTCGCACTGTGTCTGTTCGGCCTTTCAACTTCTCTGCGAGCTTTTCTCTTCTTTTGCGCAAATTATCTTTTTAATTCTTTTTTAATTCTTTTTTAATTCTAAAATTGTTTAAGGAGATTTAATTTGCTCTTTTCTAAAGCCCTGAGCCCTCAACTCAGACAACCGAGTGCGCAGCAGCAGCAGCTGCTGCAGCTGCTGCAGCAGCTGCAGCAGCTGCAGCGGAGACGGCAGCAGCAGCACCGAATGCAGCATCAGCAGCTGCAGCAGCAACAACAACAGCAACAACAGCAGCAGCCGCTGCCCACAACCAGCAGCAGCAGCAGCAGCAGCAGCAGCAGCAGCAGCAGCAGCAGCAGCAGCAGCAGCAGTCCAGACATTTCAAGCAGCCGCCGCAGCAGCAGCTCGCCACTCAGTGCAAATGAAACCCTAAAAAGATTAAAAAGTTTTTTTAAAATAAAATTAAAAATTAAATAAAACTTTTTGCTGCTACCCACAGCCTCTCGGGTGTACGTACACCTCGAGCCAGCCCCCACTTTCAACTCACTCAGTGCTGCAGAGCGCCTTTAGGGTTTAGGGTTTAGGGTTTAGGGTCTAGGGTTTAGGGTTTAGGGTTTAGGGTTTAGGGTTTAGGGATCCGGCGAGCAACAGAATGCTGGAGGTCGAATAAAAGACAAGAGAGAATAAAACAAATAAACACATTGATGAGTTTATTTTGCCAAATAAATAAATAAATAAATAAATAAATAAATAAAAAGAAAATAAATAAATAAATAAATAAATAAATAAATAAATAAATAAATAAATAAATAAATAAATAAATAAAAGAAAAATATGAAACAAATGAATCTGCAAATCAATTAGTGCCACCAACCCATTCAGCAAGCTAGCTAGCTAGCTAGCCGGCTAGCTAGCCAGCTAGCTAGCTAGCGAGACAGCCGTAGTTTAAGCTGGCTAGGCTAGCTAGCCAGCTAGCCATCTAGCTAGCCAGCTAGCTAGCTAGCGAGACAGCCGTAGTTTGGACTGGCTAGCTATCGCTGGACTAGCTAGCTGGATAGCTGGCTAGCTACACTTGCTCTAAGCTAGCTAGCTAGCGTTCACCCATCTAGCTGTGCACTGCTGTGGCTAGCTAGCTAGCTAGCTAGCCAGCTAGCTGTAATTTGGGCTGGCTGTACGGCTAGCTGCGCTTCAAGCTAGCTGACTGCCTAGCAAGCTAGCTCTATAGCTAGCTAGCTAGCTTGCTATCTGACTGACTGACTGGCTAGCTAGCTAGCTAGCTATCTAGCTAGCTAGCCAGTCACCTGTCACGAAGGCTGGCTATCCAGCCCTTTAACCAAAAGTCTTAGGGGCTGCTGCACTCCTTGCGCTTTTGGGTTTACCCGTAGGCCTGTGGCTGGCTAGCTAGCTAGCTGGCTAGCTAGCTGGCTGGCTCGCCAGCTAGCTAGCTGGCTAGCTGGTTGGCTAGGTGGCTAGCTAGCTAGCTAACTAGCTAGCTGACATGAGCATGCGGAGGTGGCCAGCTAGCCAGAAACGTTCTACCCCAGCTAGCTAAATGAAAGTACAGAATGGGAACCTGAATGACTCCAGCCACAGCTAGCTGCAGCTAGCTGCAGTTAGCTAGCTGCAGCTAGCTGTGGCTAGCTAGCTGCAGCTAGCTGTATCTAGCTGGAACCGCAGCTAGCTGCAGCTAGCCATCTGTGTATGCTAACGCCAGCTAGCTAGCCAGCTAGCTGGCCAGCGAGCTAGATAGCCAGCTGCAGCTAGCTGTCAGCTAGTCAGCCAGCTAGCCGGCCAGCTAGCCAGCTAGCTAACTAGCTAGCTGACAGCTAGCTGCAGCTAGCCACAGCTAGCCAAATAAATAAACGAAAGAATAAAACAGTGAGACAACTTCTCTCCAGACAAATTTTAGGGTATCTTTGATTGGGCGCCTCGCTTGCTCAGCTCTTCACAGTGCCCAAACCCTAAACCCTAAACCCTAAATCCTAAACCCTAAACCCTAAACCCTAAACTCTTAATCGTAAACCCTAGAGACGCTTGAGCAGCTCTTGGCCGGCTTCTTTTTGAGCTGGAATGAAGACTTAAAAATAAGAAAGATTTTATTAAGTGTTACGAGCCAAACTTTACTGAGGGTTTAGAGTATAAAGTTGAGGGTTTAGGGTTTAGGGTTTAGGGTTTAGGGTTTAGGGTTTAGGGATTAGGGCTTAGATGATGGGATTCAGGATTCAGGGTTTAGAGCTGTGGGTCTGGAGTCTAACGTTCACAGTGTAGAACTCGGGGCGTATGAGGGTTTAGGGTTTAGGGTTTAGGGTTTAGGGCTCAGGGCATAGGGACTGGGGTTTAGGGCTTAGGGTTTAGGGTTTAGGGTTTAGGGCTCAGACAGTAGGGTTTAGGGTTTAGGGTTTACTATGTAGGCGCCCCACAGCTTCCCCAGTCCTTCCTCGTGGCTTCGACAACAAATTAAAAAACAAAAAAATAAAAAATTTAAATAAATAAAAATAAAAATAAAAATAAAAATTTACAAATAATTATTATTTCCAGCTTTAGAGTAGGACTTGCTTCGGGGCCCGCTGCTGCGCCGCATGCAGCAGCAGCAGCAGCAGCAGCAGCAGCAGCAGCAGCAGCAGCAGCAGCAGCCCCAGACAGCCGACCCCCGGCGAACTATTTGCTTCTATTTGCAGCAGCAAAAAAGAAATAAATAAAATAAAATTCGAAAATAAATTTAATTTTTATTTTCTTCTGTCCCGCTTAGTGTGCCTGGTCCTCCCAGCACTAAACCCTAAACCCTAAACCCTAAACCCTAAACCCTAGCTCCCGATCCGCGAACCTGAACCCTAAACCCTAAACCCTAAACCCTAAACCCTTTCACTGCTGCTGAAGACAGCAGAAAGGCGCTGCTCGCTGCTTCCTCCCAGTGCCTTCAGGGTTTGGGGTCGGGGTGTGTGAGGGTTTAGGGTTTAGGGTTTAGGGTTTAGGGTTTAGGGTTTAGGGTTTGGGGATGGGTGCGTGTGCAAATTCGCACGCAAATCTGGGGGCCCCCTCGCAGGCTTCGGGTGTACAGACAGCTCAGCTGCTGCACCCATCCCGCAACTCCCTTTAAAACTTTTCATTTTTATTTCTTCAACTTCTCCAACAATGCCAAACAAACCCTACGGGGGCCCCCACGGCCCGGGGGGCCCCCAGGGGCCCCCGGGGCCCCAGGGCCCCCAGGGGCCCCCGGGGCCCCCGGGGCCCCAGGGGCCCCAGGGGCCCCCAGGGTACCAGGGGCCCCAGGGGCCCCAGGGGCCCCAGGGGCCCCCAGGGTACCAGGGGCCCCAGGGGCCCCAGGGGCCCCAGGGGCCCCAGGGGCCCCCAGGGTACGAGGGGCCCCCAGGGTACGAGGGGCCCCCAGGGTACGAGGGGCCCCCAGGGTACCGGGGGCCCCAGGGGCCCCCGAGGGTACCGGGGCCCCCGGGGGCCCCCGAGTTGGAGTTGGATTTGGAAAAGAAGTTAAATGGAGTTTCAGTTGTGGTGAAGGGTTTGAAGAAAGTGAAGAAAGAAACAATTGAAAAAGAACTGGGGCCTTTGCGAAGTGAGAAGTGGAAAAGAAATAAAAGAAACAATTGCTGCTGCTGCTGCTGCTGCTGCTGCTGCTGCTGCTGCTGCTGGCTCTGCTGTTGCTGGCACTGCTGCTGCTGCTGCAGAAGCGTCCCCGTAGCTGCAGTTGGCGTCTCTTTGCTGTTTCTCCTGCTGCTGCCGCTCCCTCCAACTCCGCGCTGCTGCTGCTGCTGCTGCTGCTGCTGCTGCTGCTGCTGCTGCTGCTGCTGCTGCTGCTGCTGCAGGCGCAAGCACCGTGCGGGAGCTGCTGCTGGGGCTGGACGCAGTGCATGCAAATTTATCATCACTAAATATATTCACAAGAACAGCCAGCGAGGTGCACAGCGGGGCCCCCCGGGGGGCCCCCCGGAGGGGCCCTGGTGGTGCTGCATGTAGAAGAGCAGCAGCAAAGCTTCAATGTGGGGGCCTCAGTGAGCAACAAAGGAGATGTTGAGGTGGAAGCAGCAGCAGCAGTTCCTGCTGTGTTTGGCAGCAGCAGCAGCTGCAGCGTTGCTGCTGCTGCTGCAGTCTGCAGCAGCAACCCCTCGCGGGTCTTTTCGTGCAGCTTTTTCTGCCCGCGAGTGCCCTCGTTTTTAAATGTTTTTAATTTGCTGCAGTCCGCAGCAGGAAGCAAAAGAAACAAAACAAACATTTCCAAAAACCACCGCCAGCAGCAGCAGCAGCAGCAGCAGCAGCAGCAGCAGCAGCAGCAGCAGCAGCAGCAGCCTGTGGGGCTGCTGCAGGTCTTCCGCAGCAGTCGAGACACCTCGTGCTACAACTCCGCCGCGATCACCACCACGGCGGCGACGGCGGAGCTCCGCAGCAGCAGCAGCAGCAGCAGCAGCAGCAGCAGCAGCAGCAGCAGACACAGCATTTCGTGGGGCCTTTACCACCGCAGCTTGTCTTTGGAAGCTGCTGCTGCTCGAGTCCCTTCTGCTGCTGTTCTGTCTCTTCCTTGGGGCTCTTTGAAGCACTCGCTGCGTTACCTTTACACTGCGGACAGCCTGGACTCCCCTGCTGCTGCTGCCCAGAAAGGGCTACCGGCTGCAGGCAGCAGCAGAAGTGGCTCTGCCCGGCGGAGACGCCCGCTTCCTCAAGGGCGAGCTGCAGGCCTTTGCTGCAGTGCCCCTCCCCACCAGCAGCAGCAGCAGCAGCAGCAGCAGCAGCAGCAGCAGCAGCAGCAGCCCGTGGGTGCTGACTGCGCGGCTGGGGCTGGGGGCCCTCCTCACCCCACAGGGGGCCCCCCCCCTTTCTCTTGCAGATAAATTTTACTTCGCAGGTGCAGCAGCAGCTCTTAGGGGCTTCAAGCCCTACGCTGTGGGGCCCTCTGACCAAGGTTGGTTTGCTGCTGCTGCTGCTGCTGCTGCTGCTGCTGCTGCTGCTGCTGCTGCTGCTCTTGCTGTTGAGGGATATGGTGGGGGTGGGGCCTGCAGCAGGGGAGCGCTTAAACAACTGCAACTGCTGCTGCTACGCTGCTGCTGCTATGCTGCTGTTGCTATGCTGCTGCTGCTATGCTGCTGCTGCTGTGCTGCTGCTGCTATGCTGCTGCTGCTGTGCTTGCTGCTGCTGCTGCTCAGCGTATACGATTGACAAGGCGCGGTCTCTCTGCTCCCCCACGAGAGACTTTCTGGGGGGCGATTCTTTTTTTGCTGCTGAAGTTGGACTTGCCTACGACTTCCACATCCCCAGCAGCAGCAGCAGCAGCAGCAGCAGCAGCAGCAGCAGCAGCAGCAGCAGCAGCAGCAGCAGCAGCGGCAGCAAGAAGGGGTTCGGGGGCTACCACCCCCGGCTGTACCTGTTCGGCAGCATCGGCAGCCTGGGCGACGTGTTCAGCAGCAGCAGCTCCCCGCTGCTGCAGCAGCAGCAGCAGCAGCAGCAGCAGCAGGTGTGGGGCCGCGTGGGGTCGCTGCTTCGCAGCTTCCGCTGCAGCGTGGGCTGCTGCTGCTGCTTCCCCATAGACAAAGGCGTCTGGGTGGAAGCTGGTGCTGCTGCTCCCCTGAGGAGAAGCAGCAGCGACCAAATAGAAAGGCTGCTGCTGGGCATCCGGCTGTGCACCATAGACAATCCGAACTAAACCCTAGTTTAGGGTTTAGGGTTTAGGGTTTGGGGTTTAGGGTTTAGGGTTTGGGGTTTGGGGCTGCAGCGGCGGCGGAGCTGCGCGCGCCGCTGGGGTGTATCGGCAGCTGCTGGGGTGTATAGGCAGCTGCTGGGGTGTATGGGCAGCTGCTGGGGTGTACAGGCAGCTCGCGGGTTTCTGCGTTTTCGCAATTGCGAGAGAAATGAATTTCATTTAAAATTGAAAAGTCATTTATTAAATTAAAAACAAAAATGCATTTATAATTCAAAAGATTTCATTCAAAAGTGCGGCGAAAGAAATCCGCCTTCGGTCTTCTTCAAACTGCGCCACTTGAATTGAACTTCTTCCTCACTTCTCATTCATTTATTGTTCATCTTTATTTATTATTTATTTATTTATTTATTATTTATTTGTTTATTTATTTATTTATTTTAAAATTATTTATTTATTACTTTCATTTATTCGTTTATTTCTTATTTTCAAATGACACTTTTTCTGCTGCCTTGGAGTCCATTCGCAGCCAACCACCGCAGCAGCAGCTTAGAAGAACCAAATAAGCAAATAATAAATAAATAAATAAATAAATAAATACATAATAAATAATAAATAATAAATAAATAATAATAAATAATAATAAATAAATAAATAATAAATGGAAAATAAATAAATAAAGAACTGAGACAATGAGTAAAAGTGGAAAGCGAAGTTTATTGCTGCTTGCTGCTGCTATTTCCGATTAAAATAAACAAATTAATGAACAAAAAGTTAACTAATTAATCAGACAAAAGGAGACAAAGCATGCTAGCCAGTTAGTTAGCTAGCTAGCTAGCTAGCTAGCTAGCTAGCTGCTTTCGTGTCTCTCTCTCCGCCCATCTACTCGCTTATCTAGCCAGCTAGCTAGCTACCTAGCTAGCTAGCTCACTAGCTAGCTAGCAACCTAGCTAGCTAGCTAACTAGCTCGTTAGCTAGCTAGCTACCTAACTAGCTAGCTAGCTACCCAACTAGCTAGCTAGCTGCCCGAACTAGCTAGCTAGCTACCTAACTAGATAGCTAGCTACCCAACTAGCTAGCTAGCTACCCGAACTCGCTAGCTAGCTACCTAACTAGCTAGCTACCTAACTAGCTAGCAAGCTACCCAACTAGCTAGCTAGATACCCGAACTACCTAGCTAGCTACCCGAACTAGCTAGCTAGCTACCTAACTAGCTAGCTAGCTTGGCGCTGCAGAAAAGACCGCAGCAAAATGCTGTGGCGCTCCTCTCCGGAGGAAAATAAATTAACAAAAATAAAATAAAATTGGATTGAATGAAATTAAATTAAATTATATTAAATTGAATTTGATAAAACAAAGTGAAATGGAAGTCTGCACAGATCGAGAGACAAAAGAAGACAAATAAAAGGAAAAGACGCGCAACCCCCAAGTTCGCAAGAGACAAAGAAGTGCATGCAGCAGCAGCAGCAGCAGCAGCAGCAGCAGCAGCAGCAGCAGCAGCAGCAGTTGCTGCTGCTGCTGTTGTCACCCTGCGTCTCCGCCGCGGCGGAGAGAGGGCGCGGGCAGCAGCAGGGCGCCTGACAAGCTTTGCTGCTGCAGCTGCTGCTGGTGCATCAGCTGCTGCTGCATCAGCTGCTGCTGCATCAGCTGCTGCTGTTGCTGCTCAGCAGCAGCAGCAGCAGCAGACCTGCGCGTGCTGCTGCTGCTTGGCTCTCCCCGCGAGAGCTCTTTAAAAAGGCCTCCCCTCACAACTTCCGTTTCTGCTCTCCTTACGCGCAGGCCCTGTCTGCTGCTGCTGCTGCTGCTGCTATTGGTGTTGCTGCTGCTGCTGCTGCTGCTGCTGCCGGGAGCTGCAACACGTGGAACTGCTAGGGGGATCTTCACGCTGACTGCTCTTTGCTGCGAGCCAAGCTTGGGGCCTATTGCTGCTGCAGCTCTCGGCGCTGCTGCTGCGGTTGCTGCTGCTGCTGCTGCTGCTGCGACACGGGGGCGCGCTGCGGGGGCTGTTGTGGCTCTTGCTGCTGCTGCATGCAGCGCCTGCAGATAAAAGAAGACACAAAAAACTTATTGGAAATAAACAATTAAATCAAATAAAAATAAATGATGAACTATTAAAAAAGGAACAGCAGCAAACGCTTGAAAACGGCTCAAGTATTTGCTGCAACTGACAAACACTTTTGAATCAGAAGAAGCAAAAAAGGAATTAAAGGCGGCTTTCTTCCCAAGAAAGAAGCAAAATGAATTTAAAAGTGCCTTTATTGAATAAAGGAGAAAAAAAGAGATAAAAAAGGACCAAAAAGAACTGAAAAAGTTGAAAAAAAAGTCAAAAAGAAGCAAAATGCATGCACTCACTGCAGCAGCTCGAATCTCTTCTGCATGCACTTCCAAGTAGACACAAAGACCCTCCAGCTTGTAGCAAGCAACAGCAGCTTCCTGAGAAAAGAATTAACAAAAACAAATCCAATTAATTTATTTTAAAGAAAAAAAAACAAAAATAAATCCAATTGATTCATTTTGAAAGGAAAAAACTCCTTTTTGGACCTGTCTGGAGGCACAGAGGCCCCAAAGACTTGGCTGGATCTTCGGAAAGAAAAGAATTTCATTTTATTTTCTTTTTGCGAAATAAAAGAACTTTTAAATTAAATTATTTGGAAAAGAAACGGCTTTGTTTGGCCACAGATCGCTGCAGAAGGAAGAAAGTTGAAATAAATCTGAAATTCAGAAACGCGAATTCAAGTGAAACTTTTGTTCGATTTTTCGCGAAAAAGTGGGAAAAAAAGGATTTAAAAAAAAGAAAAAAGAAAATAAAAAGAAATAAAAAGAAATAAAAAAGAAAAAGAGAACCAGCAGCAAAAAGAATCTCGAAAAAAGAAGAAAACGGAAACTATTCACCTCCAGCGCTTCCTTCCTGCTGCTGCTGGAAGCAGCGCAGCCCGGGCACGCCTGGGGCCCTGCTGCTGCTGCTGCTGCTGCAGCAGCAGCAGCAGGCCCTTTGTAAGGCGAAATGGCACTTATTTCACTTTTAGTTTGTTTTCCGAGAGAAAAAGACAAAAAGTTGTTCAAAGATCGCAGCCCGCCGGCGCCCAGCAGCCGCTGCAGCTCCCCCGTCACTGAGTCGCATTCCTTCAGGAAATAAAGAGCGTCCTGAGCAGCAACTTCAAATTAAAACCATTTCTTTGTTTTATTTTCATTTTATTTTCATTTTTTTTATTTTTATTTCCAACTTCGCGCAATTTGAGGCATTTTTACTTCCAATTTCGTGCAATTTGATGCAAAAAACGCCAACTACAAGCGCCAATCCGCACACTTCCGAAGACGCAGCCAGCCGCTGCGCAGCAGCAGCAGCAGCAGCAGCAGCAGCAGCAGCAGCGGCAGCAGCAGCAGCAGCAGCAGGAGAGCCTCCGAGGACAAAATCTGATAAATGGCGTAAAATAATCGCAAGCAATGAGAGCAGCAGATTGGTTAATTAATTAATAATAAGGGAAGGAAACAAAAACCACAAATAACAACAACAAATAAATAAATAAATAAATAAATAAATAAATAAATAAATAAATAAATAAATAAATAAAT